GGTCAGACTAGATGATCTGCTCAGGTCCCTTCCAACCCTGCCAGCTATGAAACTATAAGACTCTACCCTCATCTATACATGTGGCTGATGCCTGCTCAGATGAGATCTGATTAGAATGTGTCAGAACAGACTTGATAAATCAAGTCTGCTGGAGCATGCTAACGAGCATGGTGATGGGAATGCTTTAACTAAAGTTTGTTGAACTAGCTTTATTTAAAGTGCCCTCACTGCCATTTTGAAGTGTGTACGCTGAATACACGAGATGCTGTGCGAGTTTTAATTAGAACAGCTCCCAAGAGCTGATCTAATTAAAGCATCCCCTCCACCCACTCAGAGCATGTTTAAAGGCACCTATTGATTTCCAGAAACAAATGAAGCATGGTAGCTAGTGGCTAAGGCATCAAATTTGCAGGTATTGATTACTGCAGTGTTGCTCCCACCCCAAAGTCCAATCAAAACTTTTCATTTTCCTGGCTCAGTTCTCTGAACATTTCACTCTTTTCTTGAATTCCTCTAATTCAAATCCTTCATTGCATTAAACAGAAGCTTCTTGTCTTTCTCATTTAAAATCTGGCATGTGTTAACCCCTCTGAAATTGTCACATTTCTAATCTTATCTGCTTTTGCTCTGGCAGCCATACCACTTTTACTGCCTGATGGCCAGGGATCCTGGTTTTCTCTGTTTTAAAATAGCAAATTCTCTGATTAAAACACGCCCCCCCACAACTTCTCTGATAAAACCTCCCAAAATCCCTCACTCCCCACCCACAGCTCCCCCACCCCTGCTCATACCCTTCACTCTCCACCTAGAGAGGGGGCCTGGGTCTGCAGCCCCCTGCCCCTCCCAGCAGCATCTGAGCCCTAGCTTCCACCCATGGGAGGCAGCAGTGGCTGCAGTGGAGCAGAGTGTGGAGCCTGGCTTCCCCCTTCCCACATGTGGCACAGCTGGAGCAGAGCCTGTCAGGGGTTAGTAGATCCAGGCTGTCCACTGTAGGCTCAGGCTGCCAGCCCTGTTGCCCACCCCCTGAGGCATCCATGGCCCACTGAATGGGACCCAGTGCAGCAGGGCAGAGTGGGGCTTAGCAGGGAAGCTTAATGCCACCACTGTGAACCAAGCACTATCATGGCAAGGTGTCCCCTGCCTGCCAGCAGCATTGGGGGTGGTGGCATGAAGCTGTCCCCCTCGTTGCTGCTGGGTGGGCAGAGGGTGCCTCGCCATGGTAGCATGGAGCTCATGGTGGTGGCATTAAGCTTCCCCGTCCTGCTCTGCCCTGCTGCACTGGGTCCCACTCACTGGGCAGGGGAGGGCAGCAGGGTGGAGAGCCTGAGTCTGCAGTACGCAGTCTGTCCTCCCCATGCACAGATCCAGGGGGCATGTGCCCTCCATCCCTCCCTGGGAGTGCGCACAGTGGCAGGGAGCCAGCTCCCACAGCCGCCCCCTGGATGAGCTGCCCGCACCTCTGTCCTGTTCCCTACCCAGGCCCTACAGCTGTCCATTCAGGCCCTATGCCCAAAGCCCTGCACACTGCCCAGGCTGGGCAGCAGCCCCAGCCCCAGCCCTGCCCACTCCCTCTGTCACTATGGGGGCCTCATTTTCCCATCCTCCCGACTAGACTTATGTGTGGGAGTTGATTTCCAGGCTGCCTGGCAGCCATGTGCATGTGTACGTGGGCACATACACACGGTGCCCCTGCCTGACTGCCCTCCTCCTGCTCCCTACCCCCCAGCCCTTTGCAGGCTGGAACTCTGCCAGCCTGCAAGGGGAAACTCACCATTTCCTGTGGTTTTCTCCTTAAAATGAGAAAATCCGGGTTTTACCGCCTTTTTCCATGGCGAACAGAAAACCCGGATCCCTCCTGATGGTTCATGAGCATCCTCATGTTTTCTCTTATGCTTGTGGGTTAAAACTCTTCAAATTATGAAAAGCCATGAAATCCTTCTTCAGGTCCCCTCTTAAACCTCACAATACCTCCATTCAGAGCCAACCTGAGCGAGGTGCGGGGCCCGGGGCAAATCAGCCCATGTGGGGCCCCATCCCTACTGATCCCATGCATCCCAGACCCAAAGAAGCTGCCACCACCATTGGCAGCAGTGGCGTCAGTGGCGGGGGGGTTGAGGGGGTTAGCGAGCGGCTGGATGTGAAGCCAGCGGTGGTGTGGAGTTGCCGCAGCTGCTCCGTCCAGCTCCGTGGGGACCCCAAAGCGTGGGGCCCAGGGTGGTCATCCCAATTCACCCTCCCCGCCCCCCTCCCCCGGACATCCCCTTTGATAATGATTGGGCAGGCAGTAAGTTATACTTTTCTGTGAAAAAATGTGTGTCTCACTTCATTTTCCTTCCTTCCCATTTTGGGTCTTTCATCCATTCATTGTGTGTTGTCATCAGGCCTAAGTTTCCTGAGTCAGGGAGTGGAGTCTACTACTGTGCCTGGCACAAAGAGGTTTTGATTGCTGTTCTGAGGACCCCTAGATGCTTTGTATAGTAAGAAATACATCATAAGTAATATCTGGCAGTGACCTGGAGAGTCATGAATGCAACTAACCAATCTGGGGATAAATTTTATTGGCATCCTACTGGTTTCAGAGATCAAGGCATCAAAGTTCCTTGTTAACTTAATTTGTTCTGTCTTTATTGACCCTGGTCTTATGTCTTACCTTCATTCATAAACTCGTTTAGTTCTTGCCCATCGAAATTCCCACACATTCCACAAGTCTTCCCCATATATTTTCTCTCAACCAAGACCTAAAATAGAAAAGGGAAAAAAATATCCAAGGAAACTTCATTATTAGGAAATTAGGGCATCAGTTCTTCTCAGCTAACCTCAGCTGGGATGCCACAATGAAGTCAGTGCTTTTAGTTAATTAGGGGAGAAGAGGATGGCAATGAAACATGCAAGTCTGGCATTCCAGTGTATTCCACTGGATGTGCCATGAACCATGAAGTACTGAAAAAAAAGAACATGGGTGCATCTCCACGAGCACACGTGCTTTTCCCTGGGGACAAACAGCCATGGCACATAGTTGTGCCACTGCTACTTGTCCCCAGGGAGCACCCCTTCATGCTTGCTCTGGAGTATGGCAAATTGCCATAAGTGGGTTAGGGGAGGCCGGGGACAGCACCTAGGCTGGTCCCAGCAGCTTTACCTGGGGTCCTGGGGGCCTCCAGAGGTTACAGCAGTGGCAATCCAGGTGCACAGAGTGTGGCTCTGGCTGGCCAGGCTCCAGTTTTGGGCAGTGCATACTGCAGCCACATGCACTGTTCCTGCTTTTTCAGGGCCCTCTCCAGTGTTCCTTTTGAAGTTGAGCTACTGTCCCTTGTATTTTGTAGTCATTGGGAAAAAAGAATGGAGGGCAGGGCAGGAGTCTTTGCCTCTCTGGGAACAAAGCTCCAGGCTCAAATCCAAGCCCTCTTCCCTTTCTAGGCAGCACCCATTTCACTGAGCTGCACACCCTCTGGCCTTTTCTCTTCCTTGTAACACAACATATCTCCCTCTTGTGGTTTCCCAAGGGGCCATCTTCAAATGGAGCACCAGGGAGGAGCCTGAATCATATGTGATCTCTGCTGTAGTCAGAGCTGCTCCTGGCAAGTCAGAGAAATGCAGATGCAAACCTCCTCTGGGCAGGCAGGGGAGGGCAGGGAGGCTAAAACCTGGAAATGAGTTGTTAGGATATTCACCTGGAAAACCACAGAGGCTAAAATATGAGGGGTTTCCTCCTCTGTCTAGCACCTGGATTTTGGGCTGCTTATATTTTTGGTATGTATTGGTATGTGCATACATATTTATGCATACATGCTGCTGGGAAATAAAAGTGATATCCACAAGTAAATGCCACAACTACCACTTTGAACCAGGCACCTGAAAAAGTTGCCATTTAGATGAAAAAGAGGAAGGATCTCTAAAGAGATGAGTCGGTCCATTTGCTACAGAAAAGCAAATATGAGGGCTGGGTACTACTGTCCACTTCACAGCCATAACAGTGCATCATACTCCCAATTTTCACACGCTTTGTGTTATTGCACTTTTGCATTTGTCCTTCACAAAGATGGGATAGAGAGGGAAAAGTAGAAATATACGACTTGCCAGGAAAGTTTTTTTTTTTTACCTGAGACTAAATACTACTATAGAAAAGTTACTTGGCAGATAGTGGTCATGTACTGTACACATGGGAAACCTTTTATCCTTAAAAATCAACCATGGAGGAGCAGGGTGCCTGCAGAGTATGAAAGATCCTAGTGCCAGTATAGTGAGATGGCATTTTATATTTCAGACTTAACATTTTTATGGGGCATAATTAAGGCATATAAATGTATTGCTACAGTACTTATCTCAGTTTATGTAAAGGAGAGGGAAGAGAAAATGTGGCAGGGGAAAATGTGTGTGTGTGAATGGCTCTGGGGCAGCTTGGGGGGAAGCCCAAACACCCACAAACATGTGAAACAGCAGGTGGCTCCAATTAACCACTGATGCTGGCAGTGGGAATGGTTTAGGGCCTATAAAAGTCAGTCTCAACTCCCTTTTCATGGAAGTGGGGACTAGAGGAGAAATATTGCTAAAGGAAGGTTGTAGCTAGAAATGTTGAAGACTCCAGAAGGTTAGGACATCTAAAATTGTCGCCAGTGTAGTATCTGAGGATAAACAACATGTCAAGATAAAAAGGTATTGGCTGTGGGAGAAATTATTTGGAAACAGAGTAATGATTGTAAATGTCAGTAGAGGAAATACAGATACACCTGCTTTAGAAAAGTCCTCTCCCTTTCCCTATCTGTGGTTGTTCAGTCATCTGGGACTGGTAGGCAATGACCTGATGGCAGGTTTGGGTTTCCTGCAAGGAAGTACAAGATAATGGTCTGGAATAATCCCTGGTCTGTCATAAGCTATAATACATTTTTTTAATTAAAGTTTGTGAGCACTATCCAGATCATAGTGTCAGAACAATGGTGGTCTTCAACTTAATTCCAAATAATTTATTCCTATATCTAGAGTCCTACTGTTACATCCTCTACGAAGAACAGCACCTGAGGGTGATGGGAGCAACTGTGACTAATCTGTGCTATAACCAATGAGAAAAAAATGGATTTTGTGTGTTTTTATATACAACAACTGTTCCTTATAACTGTATCAATAAAGTGAGTAAACGCTTAGTTCCTTATAACTGTATCAATAAAGAGCATAGGCTCTTACACTGCAATTTAGGCCTATGAGTCATAATTCCATATGCTTAAGGCCTTTAAGGGGTACATTCACTCTTCCAGCAGATACAAAAATAATGAATGCACGCAAAAACAGTCCTTTTGGAATAGGGTAATTTTAGCATTCTAGAAAATCAGGGGAAAATTCCTTTGTCTTCACGATGACATTTAACTCACCATGAGATAGTCGTCATTGTTCCACATGACTACCAGCTCCATCTCCAGCAGCTTGGCCACCATGCGGATGTTGTGTCCAAAAGGTGAAATCTGGATACCATTGCTGGTATATGGCAACTTGATAATACTATAATGGGAGGGAAAATGGCTTTATCACAGCAATATATGGATGTTCTGCCAGGTGCTACTGAACAGTTTTGTTGCTAATGGAGATAAGCTATCTGTATACATAACTTGGCATCAGTACAAAACGAGCTTTGTTATTTTATAGCAATGAATTTTCAAGGCATCTTGAAAATGATTCCCAATGCAAGACAATCCACTCTTTTTGAATAAAAGGCTAGTAATCCACACTTAGGTTCCAATTTATACAATTAAAAATTGGCCAGGGGAAAGGGAAATAGACTTGTACACATGAGTTGTGAGTAAATATACTATATACTTCTTGTTGTGCCCAACTTGATTTGTTTTTTTTCTAAAGCAGCAGGATTTTCACGTCTTTACACAAAGTCTCTGTAAAGAGTAATGGCTGCTGATTGTCCAGAAAAGGTTATTTGAGGCAAAATCTTTTAAAACAAGATTTATACGAGTGTGGGACCCTGACAATCTCAAGGATACACACAAGACTTAGGTTGCTGGATGAAGCCTGGGTTCTGGTGGCTGAGTTGTAGCCCTACAGGACACTGATGATAAAGAACTAATATATTTAGCTATAAAATATACTTATTTAATTGATACTGTAGGAATAACAAGCTTAAAAAGCAGGCTATGGGGGCTAGTGCCTTTCATTTCCAAAGGTACCCTTGAAGACTAATTCAAAACATTAGGTTTTTTTTTTCTTAGAGCAGTTTAATACGTTGAGGTATAACTGAAAGTCATCTCCTTCTGCTAGTGACTACTGTACAAAATAAAATACAGATTCCCCATAGACATCCATTCTGTGTGTCTACAGCTAAAATTTAGTGCTGCCTAGCTGGAAAACAATGCTGAAACTTCTTAAGGGGAATTTCACTCTCTGGAGGCCATTCTATACAAATGACTGAAGCACAGCCCAGCCAATACATTTCCCAAAGCTTCCCCATAGTCTAATTCCTTAAATTCCTGCTTTCTGGAGGGGATCATTCTAGGCGTAATGTGAACAGATGGTGACCATGGAAGATGGGGAGTTTTTGTCACTTGAGCAAGAGAGTTCACAATCACTGATGTTCTAGCTTATCTGAGCTGAAAAAAAGATGCAGCAAAATCTCTCAGTTTCTCTTTTTACTGAAGGCATGAGCTGATCTAGGTGAGTTTGAAACTGGAGAGGAAAAAGGGATTTCATTCTGCCTCTCTTCACTAAATTTTGCAAAACTATCTTCAATACTTAATTCAAATGACTGTCAGTTAAATATTTATCTGAGGGTTATAGCTTGCTTTAGCAAGAGGAAATGAGGTCAATGTCTGGTTAGGTGGTTTTACTTTTAACTTTTATAGCTTATTCATTGACTTTGGGCATATAGTAGATTGAGTTTTCTCTGTACTTCAGTCATCTACCTTTTTAGTCGAAAGAGGTAGTCACGTTAGTCTGAAACCTGTCTGAAGGCAGGGCAGGGCAGCACTTTAGAAACTAACTTCTTCAGAAAGACACAAACTTCTGGCCATTGCCTATGAAAACATGCCTTTCTGATCAAGTTAGTGCCCCTCTGCCCTGCCTTCTGACAAACCAATATAGTGTGACTGACAGATTCCTCACCTTTCCTTAAGCATTGTCTTCTCCATTTATCCTAGAGTCTTACCCAGTGTCTTTGACCAAAATGTTGCCATTTTCAATGGTGATGGTGGTAGGTCCAAGCTCTATTATGATCCTTGCAATTTTTTTGTTAAGGCCACGGCGGAATTGAATGTTGAAGTCTGGGGCGACATCGCCACATATGGTAACAAGAATGTAGTTGCAGGAGCCAAAGAAGTCATACAGAAAATTATCGAAGGTTGAGAAGTGCCCTCCACCCCAGGTAGAACACACGCCTTTGTTCAATGCTGCAAAGACATGAAAGACAAGATGAACTGAGGTTATTTTGTGCTATGTGTGCTGATACTGAAATCTATTCTAAACACTAGCATGCAGATCCTAATAGTAGGAAAAGCTGATGGGCTTAGAATGTAAATAGCTGCCAGACCCCATGGTTTTTTTTCTTTTGCAATGTAGGTACAATAGTTTCCATAGTATGTAAAGGCCCTGTACTACTTTTCCCTTATTCTTGTAACTAAATGGCATTTCCACTAAATCATTTTATTTTTCTCTCTTCCTAAAGGTTTGTCAACACAGTACTATGAAAGGCACTCTGACACCCCTGGAGGCCATCTATGTATTTATGGGGCACAGACAATATGGAAAAAATATCATAGTAATTTTCATCCTCTGCACCCCCAAAACTGTACCCAGGGTTGCCAACCATTTGTAAATTTATGGACAATCTGTAAAAGAAAGGGTTAAAAACCTGAGTCCATAAAGTCTGTAAAAATATTTCAATGCCTGTGAAATGTATAGATATCTGGCAACCCTGCTGTCCCTGCTTCTGGTCACTGGGACCGTCAGAAAGCAGAAGTGCTTGGGTATTGCATGTGTGGGAGGCAGGATTCCTCTTTGCTTGCTCTCAGGGCAAGGGCAGGTGTGGCTGGCAGGGAGGGAGCATGCCTGAGCATAGCAGGTGGTGCTTGGAGTCTCCTTGTCCTTTGGCCAAGTTCATCTCCCCCCACCCCACACAGCTCCTGTCCACCTGTCGGAGCATGTGTCTCCTGTGCATAACCTGGGGCAGCATGGGTAGTGCAGAGCTGGCTTGTGAATGGGGGGGAGGGGGAAGAGCTGGGTGCCTCGGGGCTGGACACAAAAGTCCTGCCAGCATGGACTGGGAAACAGTGATGCTTCAGGGATAGAGGACAGACACTGGAGCCTGAGTCTTTGTGGAGAAATCAGGGCTTGGCATAGGCATCCCAGCCTTCTACACTGCCCCTGAAGCAGCGAGCTCTGGTGCCCCCTCCCCCCCCACACAGATGTTCCCATTGTGTGGGCCCCCCATGGGGCACCAAAAACCTGAACATGTCCTTCAGGGCTCTGCCTAGAGCTGGGCTCAGGCATTAGCTTCCCTTGCAGCAGGCAGCTTCTGCCTGCACCCCAGAGGGATGTGGCTACTTCTCCTAGTTTACACATATCACAATGGCTCCAAAGTGCAGGGGCTGAATCAGAGACTGCAGGAGCTAGGAGCACACAGAGCTAGCCCACAGGACAACAGGCATGCATTACTGGCAGCAGTGTGGATCGTGGGCTGCAAACATGGAGGGGGAATCACCTCCCCTCCCCTGTCCCCCACATTTGCAGGCATGTGCAGGGAAATCCCTTGCAGATAGATTTCCCTCTGGGCACCTGCAAATGTGGAGCAGAGACCCCAGTGCAAGTCTCCCCTGCCATATTTGCAAATGTGTGGGGTAGGAAAATCTGTTGCAGAGGGATTTCCCCCCAGGGACCTGCAGACATAGAGTGGTGAACCTGAGTTTTCCCTGCTTGCAGACACATCCCAAGTTGGACCTCCCTGGAGCACAATACATGGTGGCATAGCTGATGGCACTCCACCAAAGACGTCTGTTTCCAGCTGCAGTTGTATTAATGCTTATTAGGATCTAACTATAACGTGCTAAATGTAACATATAACCATACCCATATTGGCTAGAGTGGGGTTGGCAGTCTATGGTCCATGGGTTGGATCCAGTCTGCAGAGCCTTTGGATCTGGCTTGTGGAGCCTTGGCTTTGGCAACACTCAGCCACAGGAGACTTCCCATGCAGTGCCACAGTCAGACAGTAGTGGCTTTGGCAGAAGCTGGCAGGGAGATTTCCTGGCATCATGCCTTAACTGGGCAGTGGGGCTTTCAGTAGCAGTGGGGCTTTGCTCTCAGCATGCCACACTTGGGTGATGGGAAGAAAAAGCAAATGGGTCCTAGTGCCAACCCACCTCACATCTGAGTTGGGTCCTGCTGGCCTGCTGGTAGAAAACATTGCCAACCTCTGGTCTGGAATGGTCTAAACAAGGATAACATGCTCTGAGTAGGGTGTTGGACTCTATGACCTCAAGGGGTTCCTTATGCAAACTTGGTGAGGGCTAGATGTCAGGAAAGTTTTTAGTGGTAAAATTCAGTACAGTAGAAGTTGTGTTAACTGGTATTTTACTAACTGGAATACTCTGTTAACTGGAATTTCCAGCATCTGCATCAAGTATTTATTGAGCAGGGCTGAGGCGAGGGGAGGAGCAAGGGCAGCGGCTCTCCTCTGCGGGCTACACAGGTGCTGCCTGGCCAGCCAGATGCAGGGGGGAAGAGGGGGAGGAGTTTGCATGCAGTGGTAGCCGCTGCCATCCACCACCCTGAGCTGCCACTGCTGCCATGTGCAAGCCCAGATAACCAAAACTTTAACCAGTACCCTTCTTACCCCACTCATGCTGGATAACAAAGCTTTTACTGTATTTTCAGAGCTTTTGGTTACTATTAAACTTATATTACTTTTGTTAACAGGGAAGCTATTTTGCTTTGAAGAGACAGAAACGTTATGACACTGGATGCATCTACACCTGTGCTTTACTGTGCAGTTGACTAACTTTGCAGTAAAGACTCACAGTTTACATATGAACCAGTATTAGGGCCAGTAAACTAATTAACTCCACTGTAGGATATTACTTTCTGGGACAGTAGAATCTTATGGTGAAGGACTTTACTGCACAGAATCACACTTGTAGATGCTGACCAGGTATGCTAATTGTGAGAAAAAAATTGGGGGGGGCTTGGGGAGGGATGGTGGCTCCTGCCACTCCATGCGTCCCGGGAGTGCATGTAGGGGGTGTGCCCCCAGATCTGAATGGGACAGGGCAGGGTGCCACTGTGGGCTGGGTCAGAGGCTGTGCTGGGTTCTTCCCAGCCCGCCCCCCTCCCACCTCCAGGAACATCTTGGTGCAGCTCTGGCCCCAGTATGCAGTGGCAGCCTGCCCAACCACATGCACTCCCCCATGTCTCCTGGGGTGTGGGTAGCAGCACGAACTGTGCCCCCAGGCAAG